ATATTTCTAAATGATTTGAAATATATTGAAAACAATAAATATGTGGATATTCGTCTTGCTTTAAGCACTTTGGGTTGTTCTATGTCTTTATTGGCTTTGGTTTATGATTACCTTAATCCTTTCCCATTGTCAAAATATGTTTTAATTTTTTGTGTTCTAAGGTATCCTTTTCAAAATATAAAGAAAAAAAAAATCTAAAATTAAAAATAATTTTTTTTATATTGTTGTAGTTGTAAGTAATATGGCTATATGTAAATATATTTCTGTGTATTAGTGGTTGTACTGTGTATAAATGTTATTTGTTTTGCAAACTTTTATTTTTGATATACGGTCTTTAGTCATGAGTTTTTTTTTGTCATCTTTTTTTAGATAAAATAACAGAATAATGAAATTTTTGTTGTTGCTATAATTGATCTACTTAATCTTGCCTGTCAAATCGATATTAAACTAAAGTTCTTTGTTCAATTTGATTGGGATAACAACTTTGTTCAATTTGATTGGGATAACAACTTTGTTCAATTTGATTGGGATAACAACTTTGTTCAATTTGATTGGGATAACAACTTCTTTCAATTTGATTGGGATAACAAAGAACTTTTTTATATGAATTTAGTGACATTTTATTACAAATATTTTTGTAATTTTTGTGTAATTTTTAATATATTATATTTAATGTATTAAATATAATATATTAAAAATTACACAAAAAACTAGACGAATGTAAGTTTTTGGAACATGCAGAGACAGATAAAGTAAAAGAATGAGACTTGAGATAAATGACGAGTCAACTGAGAATGAGTTTTAGTTTATAGAACTAGAGATGATAGCTCCTTTGAGCAGTGGACATGATAGAATTTGTTGAAAAAAAGGAGATGGAACTTTACAATAATGGGAAATTATCAGAATATGTAAAATAGAATCATTGTAAGCGTAGTTGGACCAGGTTCAACTACTAACAGCTTCTAGTCTAGAAAAGAAAGAGCATCGTTAGAAGAACCAGCCCAAATATGACAACAGTATTCCATACAGGGAGAAATAAGAGGTTTGTAGAGGTAGAGAATGGAATCAAGAGAGAGAAAATGACAAGCACAATAAAGAGAAGCAACCTCAGCAGATGCTAATTTAGCAATTGATTTTATATATGGTCTCCATGAAAGGTCAGTAGTAAATGATAATCCAAGAAGACATTAAGAAGGAGTCTCAGTGAGAGGAATGCCATTCATCAATATAGAAATGTTGACAGTACTGCAATAGTTGTTTGCAGTTTTGTTGTAGTTAAAATTTAATAGCTACTTTAAGCCCCAATCTGTTACAGAAGTGAACTTCCTGTTCTAAGCGATCAAAAAGAGAAGACTTTTTGTCAAGACAGGAGTATAAAGTTTAGTCATCAGCAAAAAGAGCTACTTTAGATGTAAGGTTATTGGAAAGATCATTAATGTAGATAAAAAACAAAATAACCAAGAATAGAAACTTTAGGTACCCCAGAAGTTACTGGAAATAGAGGAGGAAGAAAGTGTTGGCCTTCAAGGATGACTTTAATAAAGCGGTTATAAAGAAATAATTTGATAATCTCAAAAGTTTTACCAGATACACAATATGAAACAAGTTTATGGAGAAGACTAACATGCCAAAATTTGTTGAAATCCTTAGATATGTCAAAAGCAATAGCCCTAATCTCCATCTAATGCACAATAAAATCTTTTAGTCACAGCAGTTAGCAAGTTAGCCGTAGAGCCAGAGGATCAAGAACCATATTGATTTTCTGACAGCAAGTTGTTTGACTTAAGATGGGATGTAAGAAATTTGTTGTTCAAAGACTCAAAAACCTTGCTAATAACAGAAAGAAGGCTGATCGGACAAAGAAACAAGACTGATTAAACAATAATTGGAGGAGTCAGAATGTTCACTGGAGTTTTTGAAGATTGGAACAACAGATCCCATTTTCCAGCAGGCAGGAAAATAAGACTCAGTCGAACACTTTTAAATAATTTAGAGAGAATTAAAGAGAGTTTTAGGGAACAATTTTGTAAGACTGTGACAGTAATGTTGTCTGGACCACAAGCCGTAGCAAAGTTTAATCAAAATATGATTTTAACAACGGAAGCTTGAGTAGTTTGAATGTCTAACAATTAGTTAAACTATTTAATTGGAATGGAAACAAGAAAATGGCCATAAGATTCGACAGTCAAATTAGAAAAAAAGTTATTTGTAAATAGTTCAGCCTTATCCTTGAGAGGGTTAATAAGATCAGTCCCATGAATGAGAGATGGAATGTTAGACCTTTGTTAACAACTGTTGAAGATTTTCCAAAAGTCTCTAGAGCCTAACTTCTGAAAAAGATCTGAGATTTAGTGAACTGAGAATAATGGAGCTTAGCATCTGACAGCACCATTTACATCAATTTCTTGCAATAATAAATAGCCATTTGTTCTTAAGAGAGTTGTTCTTTTGAAAAAGATGAAAAAATGATTACGAATAGATGTAGCTGTAGCACAAGAGAGTTAAAGCTATGGAGTAGAATGAGGCCTGACTCAGAACCAATGAGAAGGAATAAAAGCATCCATTCCTTCCTGAATCCAGGAGGTTACGTTGAAGGCACATTTTTCAGCTTAGAGGGAAAAGACTTCAGCCCAAGGAGTCACAAAGAAAATCATGAAAAGAGTCCCAGTCAGCTTTAGGGTAGTATTAAGTAGTGCGATGATAGGGTGAGTCCGAAAATGAAGTACAAGATGAAAGATTTGAAGAGGTCATTCCATGGTCAGAACCACCTAAGGGAGTAAAAAGAGAAACTGAACACAAGCTAGGATAAGAGACCAGACACAAATCAAGGAATAAAGGTAAATGATCAGGGTTGTTAGGAAATTGAGTCACAAAGTTAACTGAGTAAGAGATTGAGAATTGCAAAAGTTATAAGCTTTAGTACCAGCAGCATTAGTGCTAAGCCATTTAGGGTGGCCTTAGAGCCAAGCCATTTAGTGTGATGAGCATTTAAGTCACCAATAACTACAATATTGGCAGAGGGGTAAAAAGAGAGTGCAGTCTTGGGAAGAAAGAGAACGATAAAGAACAAAAAGAAAGGTGATAAAATGAAGAGGTGCTAAGCGTAAACACATAAAGAAATGGTCAAAGAATTTGAACCTGATTTCATGACAAATAGTTAAATTGATGGATGTATAAACCCCTAAGTCAAGTATGTAACTATTAGAGTCTTTGCAAATTAAAGGATATTACCCATCAACACTGAGATCAGAAGAAGGAATAGCAGAATTTAAATTAGTCTCACTAAGCGTAAGCAAGTCTGGTTAATTTTGCAAAAGGTATGATTTAACTGATAAAAGGTTCCTTCACAGACCACAAATATTAATAAAAGAAATATTAAAACAGTTAGGTAGTAGAAATGATTTTTTTATGTTTAATATTTTGATTTACTTTTGGCATAATTTAAGTTTAAAAAGAACTTGATTCATTTATAAATAGAGCTAAGCCTCCCAGACAATGAGCTATGCAGTCCTGTTAATTAACGTTAAGTCATAACATAGGGCTCCTTATGTGACCTTGACAATGCGCACAAAAAGCATTAACTAAGACACCATCCATGTGCATCATGGCACTGTTAATACTCTTATAAAAATATCTTAATGATATTTTGCAGCTGTTGACGGAATCAGCCTCTCTGAGAGTTACCACAGAGTTCAGGAAACCTTAATACCAGCCGGCCTCAGAACCATTGAACAAGCAAAAACCTCTGAGAAAAGTCAAGAAGATCCAGCATTTATTATCCTTGACAGGAAACAATGTAACACAGGTTTATATCTATGCCAGCCTAATAGATAAAGAAGGGATTCATAGCTGGTCAACAAAATTATTCTTCTTACCCCTAAAGTCTTTGCCTAAGAGGCCTCCTACAAGACAGTAGATAGATGTAGTTAACATCTGCCCAAGATGAGTACTTTTATTGAGATACCATCTCTAGCCTTTACTCAACCAAGAGCCCCAAGGCAGGGGATTTTTTAGTTAGTATTTTTTTCTCCTAGCCTTTGCCTGAAAAAGCACAATCTAAAAGGCATCAGGGCATAGGGTAGGTGGTACTGGGTTACATAATACCAGTAATGGGGTGATAGTGATTCTGAACCTGATCTGGATTGGTTCTAGTGCCACTAACCCTGCTGACACTGCTCAAAGGTTTTGTAATCACTTGCTCAAATAGTTAACTTGTGACTTTTTTTTATAGAAAAGCTTTGAGCTATAGTGACCTTATATTTCAAATTTTATTGACAACCTTGGCTCTTTGATTTGTGTCTTGTATTTCAATTTTTGTGGTTACTTTCTCCTTTTTCTCCTGATGATGATTTGGACCATGCTATAATATCACTATAAATTTTATCTTGGATTTTTTACACTTCTTACTTCAATCTATTACACCAAATTAACGCCATTAAGTATAGTTATATTTTATAATATATTGTTTATTATATGGTATTATATTATATATTATATATATTATATAGCCATATTTATTAATTTTTGTAATTTTCTTTGTGATGGTCCTTGGAGTGATATTTTTTTTGTCTCTGCTAAAAATTGTGCTTTTTTTATAATCTCCTTGATTGATTGATTGAGATCACATTGAGACAAGAAAGGTTTTATTATTATTATTATTATTATTATTATTATTATATATTTTTTTTTTTTTGTTACCACCATAGTTTAGGTTACCCTATCGTTTTCTCCATGTGCAACTGCTATTACTAATGATTTATTTTTTATCTTTTTTCACAGATTTTTAAAAACAAGTGACTTTTTTTTATAAAAGTATTGTCAAACACCAAGACCAATTCACTGTTAGACATCCAAATCACTCCTGCTTTTGATGCTTCTGTAAATTCTTCTACATCTTCCAGTGTTCCAGATAACATTCTTAGAAAAGCGTTCTCTTAAACTCTCTACATTACTCTTTAAACTATATAACAAATACTATAACAAAAATTTTTTTCCTGTCTGCTGAAAAACTCTTAATAAGGCTGAAAAATACTCTCCTTCATTTCAAGTATTCTCTAAGGCTCCACTATGTCTCATCACTGGTCCTGTATTGTCTCTTATCTAGGTAGCTCTATTTGCTAACCACACAACTATATACTTCAGTCTTGACAAAACACTTTTGTGAAGTAGATCATCAAGTTTTGATAGCTTAGAACCAATCTTGATAACTAGCAACGATTTGGATTAACTTAACTTTTTTTACCATGTGGCAACTAGTACTTAACTAGATACCAATCTTTGGTTGATTTGGATTTGCTTTCTGTGAAAGTTTGGAATTTGCTGTGGCTGGTGAATTTTAACCCAAGCAAAACTCAGTTATTTACTACTAACAATTATCACAATATTGTTGATATTCTTATATCGATGAATGGCAACATGCTAAGTCCTCTACTTTACATTTTCTAAGTTTATCATTCAATGCTGACCTTTAAAAGAAACCAAGTATACATAGTCTTCTTGAGATGAGTCTTCTTTCTACTGTTTTTTAACTCACCTCTTTGCATTCTGCTTATTATTTCCCAAGTTGCACTCTGCTTATTAACTCCCAACTTTTTTTTAATGGTTGGTACTTTTACCTGTTTAATGGGTTGTCCATAAATTACGTCACACAATTTTGATCTTGGTCTCCTCCCTTTCCCTCATCACAACATCTTACCGTGATGTAATTTATAGACAACCCCCATTTTGTATTATTTTGATACACTAGTTAGCTTAAGTATCTTTTTGTTGTAAAAATTTAAGTTAAAAATGGAATAAATAATTTTTCTTGTTTGTGTATTTTATTATATATTTTTATGTAAATATATATATTTATATATATTTATATATATATATATATATATATATATATATATATATATATATATATATATATATGTATATTAGTATATATATATAGAAATATATATTAGTATATATATATATATATATATGTATATATATATATATATATTAGTATATATATATATATGTATATATATATATATATATATATATTATTTATTATATATAATTATATATATATATATATATTATTTATTATATATAATTATATATATATATATATATATATATATTATTTATTATATATAATTATTTATATTTATATATATACTATATAACGAAAAAAATAAACAAAAATGTAAGAAAATATTGCTCCTCTGTGTGGCACTGATTTTGCGGGCTACTGGCTATAAGATAGTTGATGTATGTACTGTAGTTCCCTGGCAGGTTATTTTATTGTGACATCAGAATTGTATCCTAAACATGCATTCATAGTTTTAGTTTTAATTTGATTCAAATTTAGAAGTATTTTTTTGATAATATTTAGATCTGTTATATCAACAAACTTACAAAATCAGGAATATTGAAAAAATAAATATACTAATTTACATTTAAAACTTTTTATTTATTTAAAAAACCTTGATGATTGTTAGTTACTTTACCCTCATGTCAATTCTAACACTGTTTATGACCTTCATTGAGAAGAATATTATTCTTTGTGCATCTCAGAAAGAATCATCAGGATTGGTAAGTTTTATTACTTTGTTGTTATGACTTCAGTATTTTCTATATAATCTTTATCACTAAAATGGATAAATGTTAGATGAGAATTATTTTATTTCTAAAAAAAAAAATTATTTTTGTTAAAATTTTTAATTTCTTGAATTCTATGATTCTCTGATACTGATATGCAGAAAATGTTGCTCATATGTTTTTTTAATGCTTTAAATATATGATTATCATTTGACTTGTTTGCAAGATATTCAATTTTTTTCAATTACAGTCTTTGACAACGCACTAGCTCCCAAATTTAAGATAAAATATTGACTTAAATAAAATATATAATTTGGTGGATCCTAATAAACTTTATTTTGAAATTTGAAACTTTGTTTTGAAATTTGAAACTCTAGCTGTTTGTTTCTAGACTATTAAATTGTTTTTTTAAAGACACTACCTTTAATTTTCAATTGTCTAGATCATTTGTTACCACGTGGAATAGTAAAAAATTCCGTTGTGAAAATATTTTGCAAAAAGAAGAGTGTGAGAGTGCATTATTATAATAGTAATATTAACTTATAATAATAATTTTTAATATTACCCCATGTACCAAAAATCATAATTCATATAAATACAACACTAGCGCTCAAAATAATCATTTAAAGTTTGCTAATCAACACTGATTGGCTGTAATAATGAAATTTGAAAAGTAGGCGATCAAATAGTTTTTTGAAGAGTTTTTCTGTAAATTTTCACCTTGTTTTTATAAGCTTAACACTTGTTAGTCAAATAATACATATAAAATGATAATAAAGTCAAATAATATATATAACTATTGTAATAAAGTCAAATACATATAAAATACTCATTAAAAAAAAATGATTTAAAGCATAAGTCAAAAAAAAATTTTATAAAAGTTATAAAAAATTCTTTTTTGATATTTTGCTGTTTTTTTTTAAAATTATTTAGAGTTTACTTAAAACATTTTTGTCTCTTAAAATCAAAAACTATCGTTTATATGAACCAAGTTGCATGATACTTTCATGGTAAACCATATTTTTGTACCGGGGCTTTGGAACAGCTCTGGAGCTGGTGACATGGTGCAAGAGCTGGTGATTTTACATGAATAAGAGCTGGAGCTAAAATATTTCCTGCCAGAGCTCCAGAGCTCCGCCCTTTAATATTTTGAAATATCAAAGTTCCGTAAAGTAATTATTTTATATAATGAGATTTTTTTAAAGAATTTAAACAATTACCCTAATTAAAATATTTATAATTTGTAAATATAGCATTTTTTCATATGCTTTATAAAAAAAAAAACAATAAGGCAAACTAGTAATTATTGCAATATTAAATGATATTGATATTGATAATGATATTATATATTATACGTTGTATATATATTATATATATATATATATATATATATATATATATATATATATATATATATATATATATATATATATATATATATATATATATATATATATATATACAAATAGTATTGCGTACTTTGGTAAGCAATCTGACGTCATACTGAAATAGCCGGCTGCTGGGGGCTTCAGTACATACAACGACTGACAAATAGCCTGACTCGCAGTGAAGTGCTGCTACATCGACTCAGGGTTAGGGATGGGGAAGCAATTGTTTTATTTATCATTCTTCGTTTTTTTCCTCTTCTTTTTCGAAAAAAACGGTTTACCTTAAAGTAAGCACAAAAAGTGAGCAAATGCTTATCAAAACATGCTTTAGTAAGTGTATATATATATATATATATATATATATATATATATATATATATATATATATATATATATATATATATATATATATATATATATATATATATATATAAAAATTCAAAGAACTCAAAATTGGAAAGAGAAAATTATTTGAAAAAAATAATATTTCACAAAATGGTAGCTAATTTTGTAAAAACCTACCTGGTTGTCCGCGTCAAGATCATTCCATGCTGATTTTAAAGTTTTAAACAGCAGATTATCTGGTCCAGAAGTAATGCTACTTTGATAATTTTTCCAGAAATGTGTTATGTGTAGCTCATTGACATGATGTCGGCATGCAATAGATAGAACTGGTCGTTGAAAGACTTCATTTACCAGTAAAGATACAGCTCCATTTTTGTTTCCAGTGTTGATTCTGGTGGTATCAAATGTAACAGCTTGTATATTGTCTGTAAGGTTAAAGCTATTTAAGATATCTCTGATCGCATTTTTTTGATTTTTGCCAGTTCCAGAAGAAATTGGTGGAATTCCCAACAGGTGCGTTTCCATGTTACCATTTAGTAATATTGCTAATCGATCTTGTTCCAATTTTTTCCCATCAGTATATTCATGACCTACTTTTCCATCAAAATGGAGTTGAACTAAAATGTTCTTATGGATTTTTCTAAAATTTCTCAAATCATCCTTGATCCTCTTAGATTCATCATGAATGACCTTATCTACAGCGCATAATGCTGTAGAGGTTGAACATTTAAATTCAGCTACATTTCCACCCAGTTTAGCGATTATACTATTAACCATCGAAGCATGCTGCCTATGACTTATTCCTTCCCCAATAGCAGTATCAGCAGTTCTCTTAAGAATATCTTTTGGAAGCATAACAATATTAGTTTTTTTGACTTTTTTCTTTAACTCTGGATCTAGGTATGAAAAATCATCATTATCTTCATCTTTCTCCGATCCATTTGAGCTGAATTCACTCTCTGACATGGTTTCATGCAAATTTGATTTCCTTTTAATTTTGGATAAACTCCTGTTTACAGAGTAAAGGTACCTTGTATCGGTTCCACCTATTCTAGTTTTTCTATCTCCTAATTGGTCCAATAAAAATGCAATATCTTCAGTAAAATCTGAAATCCACCCTTCATCCAAGGTGTAATTAACTTTGAAAGAGTGCAGCAAATATGTTATTTATGGCAGCTGATTTCAAAGTTTTTTGTCAATGGACAGTGGATAATTCTACTTTCTTTTTGTTTTGGGTACTTTTCCTTCAAATGCAAGAAGTATTGCAAAACCTCTTGCTCTGTAGCAAACTTGTCTTTTGGTAAGGGTGGCCTGGATTCCCCTACCAAAAAATGTGTGTCAACTTTTTTCTTACTTTTTCCTGGCATGAATCAATTTGTAGTAAATAGCTTTAATAAGTATATGGAGTAAGTATATCATAAAAGTAATCAACAATTATTTCCCCTGTTTTTAAATCAAAATTAAATATCGTTTTTGTTAAAAAGTAATTTGCATAACATATTTAAGCAAATAGGAAACATTTTTAAATTAACACGAAGCGCAATAATTTGTAAAAATCTGCATAACTTTGCGTTTTTGTAGATAAATTTACACAAATTATTTCAATAAATAAAAATACCATGCAATTTCAATTTTTTTATTCTATCTTAGAAAAAACTCTGGAAAAAAAAAATTAATTTTTTTGAGTTTTACTACTTGCTCAAACGTGCGAAAAATGGGCTTAAAAAAGGGTAAAAAAGTCTAAAATATGACTTTTGAGGCACTTGAGCAACCCTTAAAAGTGGTCAAAATTTAAAATAAAAAAAATTCTAATAAAATATGGGTCAGCACAGCATATAACACTCCATGGTGCTTTAAACTTTTTCATGACCTCAAAATGAAGCAGTCTAATATATATATATATATATATATATATATATATATATATATATATATATATATATATATATATATATATATATATATATATATATATATATATATATATATATATATTTATATATATATTTATATATATATATATTTATATATATATATATATATATATTTATATATATATATATGTATTTATATATATATATATATATTTATATATATATATATATATATATATATATATATATATTTATATATATATATATAATGTTAAATAATAGATGCACAATTTGAGGTACAAAGACACAATTAAAATATGATTTTCATGTTTTAAAAATTGTACTTGAGCTTATAAAATTGTTTACTTTCAAAAAATTGTGTTTTTTCAGAATTTAACTTTTATCTAATTATTTTGTGTAATATATAGGGTTGCCAGATGTCTGGCTTTTACAAAGGAGAACACAGAAAAATTTATTTTTACAAGTTTGGGGCTGTATTCTCTTCCATAAGAGCCAGGCGTCTAGCAACCTTATCATATCATGTGGTTAATATTGTTGAGTATAAAAAGTTACTTTAAAAAAATATTTCTAATCAAAATCAATGATTGGTTAACAAAAAATACTTTATCGATGTATTAAGTCACATGATTTGTTTTAACATTTTTAATTAGTTGAAACAATTTAAAAATAGATTTAAATACGTGAGTTTCAAATAAAATAAAGAAAAGATTTTAAAACATTTTTTTGAGATTATTGATATTATTTTTATTTATTTTTTTATTATTATTTCTATTAATTTTAAAAATTTGATTTTTCCATAAGTTATTTAAAAAGCAATCGTTTTTTTTTTTTTTTTTTTTTTTTTCAAGTTATTGTGCTATATAATGGTTAATTGTCATCTATTTTGTTTTCCATAGTTTGTAATAAAAATGCTTCAAACTCAAACAATCCTGAGAGGTTTCTAGATAAGTATTTTCCTATTGATACAAATACTAAACTGGCTACATGTAAGATTACAGAAAAGATTAATGAAAAGGTGATTTCATGTGGCGTGCAAATAAAAAACTCAAAAGTTTACATTATGAAATGGCATTTGGAAAGATCACATCTATTAGAATATAAAATTGTTGAATCAGAAATGAGCCTTATGGCCAAAAGAAAATCATAAGAAACATTTTTATCACATTCACAAGATTTCAATACTAAAAATAATTAAACAGACTACTTTTGATTTTTTTGCGATCACTAGTAGTATAACGATAAATCAAGTTAGTGCTAAAACTTTTACAAAGTGAATTATTAGAATGATAGTGAATAACAGAGTTTCGTTGAAAACATTTGAAGGTTATAGGCCAATTAGGTAAAACTCTTGGAATCAGTACTGGACATAGTTCTGTACGCAATTTGATTAATGAATTTGCTTTCAAAAAGAAAGCTGAAATAAAGGAAATGTTGTTACATAAATTTATTTATGTGAAAATAGTTGCAGACACTCAACACCAAAAGAATTATTTGGAAATAAATATTCAATATTGTTATGTGGGAAAAAATGATATTAAAACTTTAGCACTGATAGATACAGAAGGACAGCACAACTCTGAAGATAATCTATATAGATTTGGTATCAGCAAAGATCGAGTAGTATGTGCAAGTGTAGACAATGCAGTCAATATGATTAGAGCAATCAAACAAATATACAGGTGATGAAAATTTTCAAGATAAAGCTTTGCAGGACATAGAACAAACGGAGTTTTTACAACAGGATACAAATGAGGAAGAAAATCTAGAATGGTTTCAACAATAGTCTACTGACATTAAGCTGATGGGCTAGTTATTCACGATGCTTTAAAAAAACATACATTGCCCAACTTTTGGTAATAGTCTGTTATTTTGTATACAATATGTTACAACATATTGCTAAACATACAATATGTTTAGCAATATGTTGCTAAACATACAATATGTTTAGCAAGGAAGTAATACAAGATCGTTCCAATTTTGGATAATGAGAAATTCTGGGGTTCTACATTCCGGATAATTAAAAGATTGTTACTTTTAGGTCCACTGTCTAAGCAAATTGCTGTAGTTAATCAGATATTCTTTCTATGCCCTGATATATGAGATGAGTTGAGTCATCTTAGCAATCTTTTAAAAAAGCAGTATGATGTGACAGCTAAACTTTAAGGGATTGACATCACTCCAGGAGAGCTCCTAAAGGAATGGTTAAAATTGAAATCTGACCTGAAAAGAATCAAGGACTAGTTGTGGAAGACATTTTAAAATCAATGCAGAAACAAACAAAAAAAAACTTTTTAATGATGATATATTTTTAGATGCAGTTTATGTTGATTCTAGATATAGAATGCTGTTGGTTTAAAAACCAGATAATACGAGCAAAACAAGGCTTAAAAACAACAGCAGAAAAAAATTATAAAAGAGATGTCAAAAATATAATAGAAAGTCAAAAAATAAGAAATACTGCTAAGCCATCTACCACACTTCTTTCAGTTTTAAGGAATCTAATTCCCATGGAGAAGAGGATGTGTTTGAAAAAGAGCTTGATGAAAAAGAAAAAAGGAGAAGTGTGACCAAAATAAGTTTTAATGATAAAAAAAATTTTAATACAAAATTTATGGACGACTGTAGGGTAATAGAAGAAATGGGACATTTAAAAGTGAAATCAGCGAGGGAAATCTGAGCAATCTACGTTCTTTACTCAAACCTGACATTTTAGATATTTTATTTTTAAAGACAAATCAAGATTTTGATTAATAAAATATTTTTATATAAGGTATGTCATAAAACAAAAATTAAATTTTGTGATTTTTTTCGTGGAACCGTTCCAGAGTTGGAGCCGGAGCTGAAGCTAAATATTTTAATGGAGCCGGAGCCAATATTGAGACCTCGGCTCTAAATTTACTTTTGAGCGTATAAAGGTTGACACTATATTTATTAAGCAGTGTTAAACTTGCTTCTTGAGTAATAAGTTTTTGCTGAATTAAATATATTTTCAAATACAGTATTTTTGCTGTTTTACTACATTAAAGAATAGCTTATTTAAAATTTACTTTGGACTTGTATAATCACTTTGATTGCAAGGATTCATCTTTTAATGACTTTAGCTTAAATAGTAACTTTAATAAAAAAAAGCAAAATATATTTTTAGTAGCTGGAAATGTAATTTATTTAGCTACACAGGTAATATAAAGTATTGTATTATAGAAATATAGTGTTAAGTCATGCAAAAAAAAAAAAAAAAAAAAAAAACAGTTATTACTTTGTAAAAGCAAGTAATAGCCGTTTGCATTATTTAAAAAATAATGTTATTAGATTTGTTCAAAACTAAAAATATATATTTTTTATAAAACATGTAAAATATTAGTGGTGTCTAAAATATTTTGAAATTAATAATACAATTATATCATTTTTATTAATAAATCTTGTATTACTGTTTTATTGTAAAGTTTTTTAAAAATATGTGGTTATGAAAATAGCGGTTTTAGTAGGTTCAAGTCATTTCACATTTCTCTTTAATGTTCTTGTTTTAAAATTAAGGGCTTTTTTAATCGATGCTCTTTATATATCAATTTTGTTTGACTTGTTTAAATCTTTTTTGTTTCTGTTTATCTTTTGCAAAATAAAATCTACAACTTGTATATACAGTGTTAGACAATCACGCACATTTAGCAGCAAGCAAATATGATAAATACTGCTCATGATACTGTTTAGACATGTTAGAACTGAAACTAATAAGACCACTAATTCATAATATGTTATTTTGTTTAGTAATTTATTGGGATACATACTTAATTATAATACCATTGATAAAAGAGGTAGTCAGATAAACAAAGTCAGATAAACAAAGACAAGATTTGCTACTTCAAAACTTAAAAGAATATTTCATTTTTGGCTAAAGTTATAAAAAGAACTATGGTTATAAAAATAATATTTTGTAGAATCTGCAGTAAAACATTTCACCATTTCCATCAAATGAATTAGTTTCATTTTTTTAACTAGAGACTAAGCTGTAATGACTTCTTCTTGAAATACCTGAAATATTTATACTTGATTTTAAATTTGGCTTAAAGCAGGGTACCATTTATCTGTAGCAAGCTTTTCTGTAATCTGAAGTAAAGAATTTTGAAATTTAATAATATAAACCTTGGCTTTTTTTAATCTTTCCTAAATTGTTTATCAGTAATCTTATCCTTGTGTTTGGCATTAAGGTGTCAATTCACTTTGTGATATACATCGTTTCTTGCAAAACAAACACATAAATTTACTTTGTTCATTTTGGTTAGAATAAAATAAATTTTGCAACTTTATATTTCAACTAAAATAGAGGTATGTTTCCAACAAATAGAAACTGAATAGCAGCTAAAACAGCATCAAATTCATTCAAATTATCAAATTCTGCGTCAGAAAAAGTCATTTTTAAAATATTTGATGCACTCTCAGTCCAGTCACCCCATAAAGTTCAAGTTATTTTATCTAACCTATATAAAACAGCCCCCGTTTCCAGACTAGTTAAATATTATGACTATGATTTTAGCTTGTTGAATAAACCCTAATGAAGTTAATACATCTGTTTCATCACTTTGAAAAGATTTGGTGAAATCTTAATTGGTGCTTGAATTGTGTGTGTGTGTGTGTGTGTGTGCGCGTGTATGTGTGTGTTTTTCCCAAAATTAATTCTGAATAAAAATTTGATCAGCAAGTTAACTTATTTAAATATGAATAATTATTAAATGTTTTTGATTAATAGAATTGAAATAAAAAAAGCTGTTTAGAATTCAAAAGGTTATATATTAATGTTTTATAAATTTCAATAGGATATAATAATGTTCTCCAAAATTAACAAATTAAGAAGTAGTTTAGTTGTCAAAAAAGTAATCGTTTCAGATCAATAATCAAATTTTTTACTTGTTTTTTATTAGGATCCTGACTCAGAATGGAAAATCTCCACAACAATGAAGAGATTTTCAAACATATTTACTTTTGATATAAGTAAATTAGATGGAACAACAAAAAAAAAATATAATGCATCATTTTCCAAGTACATTTTATATTTTTCTTTTCTTTTTGAAAATGTTTTTGAAGCTATTGTAATTTATTGTAATATTTTATTAAATTGTTATCCTTTTTTTAATTTTTCTTTATTTTATTTTTCTCATTATTTCTTCATTATTTTTCTTATTTTAGATGTGTTTCATCCTGGGTTGATGAAAAAGGTGTTGTTGTTATCGACTTATTAAAAGCTGACATTTTGAAATGTCATGAAAGTATAACTTCTTCAAAGAAAAATCAATAAATTAAAAAAATATTTTATGTTATCATTTTTTTGCTAATAAAGTTTTGGCTTAAATACTTTTTATCTCTGCTACTTCAGATTAATGCCAAAATCATGTATATTAGCTGTTTTTTTTTTTTTTTCTTTTTTCCAATTTGCCCAATAAGTTGCACGACGATGTCTTTACAGTCTTATCAAAAAGCACAGTGGAAGAGCATCTAACTAGATAATTTATGCTTCCTTGCTAATTAATGTTACTAATTAACCACACACCTCTTGATTCAAAGGTAATTGCTGTAACAGTTGCTTGCCATGGCTAGTTTTCTTGAAAAAATTTTTTTTTTTTTAAATTTATAAGTATTATTTTTGCAAAAGGTGGTTGATTTGGTTTTATAAGAATTAACATTAGTGTTTTAAAATTATCCAATATTTTATATAAAATTTAATACAAAATTTCAATTCCTATATGTTATATTAGCTTTTTCATATTGTATGTTTTTAATAAATTGATGCTATCTAAAACAATTTAAAAAAAAAAACACCAAATATCAATTTTGAAGGTTTTAGTTTTAGCAGTTTGGTATATTAGATGTACAATTATTTTGATAACTCGCAATTTAGGTTTGTTTGTGCCCAGAGCCCTGGCCTTGACTAAATATCGTTTTTTACCACCTCATTTCCAGCTAAACAGATATGTTTGCAGGGGTTATTACCTGGGGCTATGATGTAATGTGTTATAAATTATATTTATAAATTAATGTATATTTTTGTTATTTATATACTTGCATATATATATATATATATATATATATATATATATATATATATATATATATATATATATATATATATATATATATACATTAATTTATAAATATTATGTGCGACGGTGGCGCAGTGGTTAGAGCACTTGCTTTAGAAGCAGGAGATCCAGGTTCGAAACGAGCTCTGAACATATTGCTCTGTGACAAGACCAATAGGTCTTCTTGGGGCACCTAAATAACAAAAAATATATATATATACATATATATATATATATATATATATATATATATATATATATATATATATATATATATATATATATATATATATATATATATATATATATATATATATATATATATATATATATACATATACATAAATATATATATATATATATATATATATATATATATATATATATATATATATATATATATATATATATATCATGGCCTACTATATTTTATGGTCGAATATCTTACATTGTTAAGGGGGAAATTAAGAGGCAGATTTTTACTAAAAAAACGTCTGCACAGAATATTATATTTTTAAAAAGCAACTTAATTCTTAATTTTTAACTTGAATTTCTTCAATGTAAATGTGGCAGTTGTTTTTAATATATATACTCTTTAAGATAAAATAGGTATCAAAGATTTAAAGACATTTGTGTAATATTTGTTGGAGAATTGTCACAGAAATAATTCAAATCAATATACATTTAAATCTATGTATATTATATTTATATATAATATATATTTATTTGTGTATATTTTAACACTTTAGAAAAATGTCAAGAAAGTTCAAAAAAGTTTATATGCTCCTTAATTAAAGAACAACATGAGAAAATTCTTTCCGAATTTAAAACTTCTCTTAAACTTACAAGAAATCTTCCCCCACTGATTTACTTGTATTGTGAGAAACGTCTCTCAATTGGATCACTTTGTAAATGAGTTGTTATTACATAATCATATCCATCATTCAGGAGCTCCTTAACAAGCAGTGCTTGAGGACATAAGGTATTTACAAATGCTGATGCAGTTTAAGTTGTGAGGGTGAATGCAGGTGAAAGAAACCACTGATTGATCCAATCAGCCAGAGCTTGGTAAAAAACATTTTATTGTCTCCTAATACAATAGCATTGCCAATAATATTTGGTAAAAATCTTTGTTTAGAATTAGCAATAGTCCACCAAGTGTTAAAAATAGTTAAAAAACTTGAAACATCTTTTCGATTTGGAAATTTGCTTTTTGAAGCTGCAAATGTAGTTTCATGTATAATTGCTAACACAAGTGGCACACTTTGTTTATTATTTCCAGGATGTAATGTCTCATATGTGAGCTTTGGATCTTTTTTAAGTTTACCTTTCAGATCATTATCATTATAGTAAATCTTAAATAAATCATCCCAACTAATATATCATGATGGACAATCAATATTGATATATGCATTATGGTATTTAAAGTCTGGAAAAAACAAATTTTTTACCATTTAATAAATTATTTCTAAGATTTTTGACTAAATGCACACTATCATAAAACAAATATGTCTTCTTTCCATGTTTCTGTGGGTGAATAATAAAATACTTTGATTCAGACTTGAACATTGTAACTAATGATGAGAATGCATTAATGTTAGTGGAATGATTGTCTGTAGCTATACCACATACAGTGAACCTAGCACCTAATAGACTTTTAATTAATAATAAACATTTAATTAGTAATAGAACGACATAAACAGCACAGACTTATTTTGAACAATATGATAAGTAATATACAAATGCTGATCCTCTGAGAAATGCTGACTCTGAGGATATGTTTATAACTTAATCACTACACAAATTATGTTTACACATTAGCATTAATGTTTTTTTTTCCATTATTAAATGCCTCTCATTGTTGTTATCAGATTTTTTATTTTGTGATCCGTTTTTTGTTTTACAAGTTTTTGTCTGGTGATATATATCTTCGTTCATATTGGTGTTTATAGAACAATTTTTATTTTTTTAAATTTATTGTTATTGTTATTATTGTTGTGGGTGTATAGCCTGTCTTATTTATTTTTAAATATTCCTTTAATTGATCTTTATTTTTGTCTTGACAACTGTCAAAATATGCTTTGTCTAATAAATAATTCTCCTTTATTCTAATGTACTTCACTTCTTCCCTCAGGCGTTCACTGCTCGTGTGTGACCATTTGGCGAATTTTATATGCCAAAGTTTTTAAATAATAGACTTTTAAGGTTGTCAGCTATTTTTTGTGATAGTAAATTTCTAGGAATGTGACTTCTGATATTGCTTGAACAATAAAAGGAATAGATTCTTCTAGTCCTATTACATGAATATGACAATTCCTTTGTGCAATTTACCTTCCTTTTCAGCACCAACTTACTCTCCTCCTTGATATTGTGCTGCTCTTTCAAATATATTTCATCTATACATAATACAATCAGGAGAAATTTTTTCTTTTTCACGTAGAGGTTTTAAAGCTTTTATAGAATCGATACCTCCTTATTGAACTTTATTTAATAAAGATATTGATGGAGAGCTTTTGAAGTAGTAGTTTGTATGCCTGTAAAGATGTATATCGTAAAAGTAATGCATATCGAATCATCTCTGCTGAGTATGGTGGCCTGCCTTGTGGCTGATAAAAGCTCTCTATCTTTAATTTCATCTAAAATAGTGTTATGATTTTCTAATGTGTAGTTTCTCATATAAGAAGGAAAATTCTCTAGCATACTAATTTTATTAAGTTTTGCATTATGTTCATTAACAAACCAACTTTATAATGGAAGCGGTGTTCCTTTGTATTGCAAATGTACATTTAGGTCTACATCAACTGTTATTGATTCTAATATAGTTGGAAAATATGTCAGTTCATGAAATACTATATTATAAAATACAACCCTTTTTTCAAATTGTTTAAATTGAAACCCTTGGTGTTGCTACTGCTTCATTCAAATTACATTTACATTTGTAATTGTATCATTTTTCTTAAATATTTCTAACTAATCTTTTGGAGTATTTTCAATTTAGGAGGACTTCAAGAAGTTTTTAAAACTGGCCAAGATGATTTTTTTTTGCGAAAGTTCACAAGAATACTTAGAAGGAACAGGTTTTAAAAGCCAATTCAGTGTGCATTTATCACCTCTAAGTATATATTTATCTTCAAAATGATGTTCACATAAAATAGAATGTTTTGTTGGAGTCCATTCTGAACAATTAACAAATTGTATCCAAAGTTGATTTAAGTTTTGGTCTGTTGGAAAATGAAAAGATGCAATTTGTTTGTGTTTGTTGCTTAAGTATTCCGATGTACATTTTGGTGCAGCACATTTTTTGACCATTTTTAATATAAATTCTTTAAAAATTAGTAAATTCAGAAAGAAAAATATTTTAAAAAATAATATTTTAGCGTATTTTGCATCTAAAACTTTCAAAACCGGCCTCTTAATTTCCCCCTCAAAAATGTAAGATATACGGCCGTGAATATAGTAGGCCATGATATATATATATATATATATATATATATATATATATATATATATATATATATATATATATATATATATATATATATATATATATATATATATATATATATATATATATATATATATATATATATATATATATATAAATATATAAATATATATATATATATATGCAAACATATTTTTTGTTACATTTTCTCATTGAGTTAACTTTTTAAAATAAAATTTCTTAATAAGTATGTCAAATTTTACTACAATTACGAAAAGAAAAAAAAAATCCAAGTTTAAGAGCGATTAATCAAAATTTTATTAAAAGGATACAAATCACCAGCTCAAAAGTAATTGGACTAACTAAATATATCCTTTAAAAAGATGAAAACAACAACAGTTTGTAATATTTTGAAAAATTTGCAAAAAATTAAAAATAATCGTTCAAAAAATTTTCTAGATTTAAAGAATTATTTGTGACCTACATAAATACACTGCAAGACATGTTGCTTCCAAAAAACAGTTTTTAGAATTTCATAAGTTTTATGACGGAAACTAATATTATCTAAATATTAAAGCAAGCAATAATATTTTAACAAATTATATAACTTGAGGAAAATAGTATAATAAATATGAAAAAAAAAAAAATGTGGAAATGGAAAAACATAATTTATCAAAAAAATACAATTAATGAACAAAATAAAACATAATTCACCATAAATTAGTTTTAAAAAAAGATAACAGCTATTGGATAGCAAAGTAAATATTGAATTTCTAGAATCCAAACAATAATACCTCTATAGCAAGCGATAAATACAATAAAATAAGT